GTCGGCTGGGGAGAAGAACCCTTGTTTCTTCTCCCACAAACCATGTCCAACCCCAACCCCACCATCCCTGCTCACCCCACCAAAGCGCTCGCGCCACCGAAGCACGCCGCCGACGGTCTCCAGCGCTTGATGGACGCCCCCAAGGTTCCCGCGGGCGAGGCTGCCGCCCAACTGTCGAAGAACCCCGCCGACGGGCCACAGCCGCCGAAGGTGACCGCCAAGGCCACCTCCGACAGGCCACAGCCGCCGCAGGTCACCGCCGATGGTTACCGCCGACGAGCGCCAGCCGGAACAGCCGGTTGTCATCGGGGTCGGAAACCCCGCAGGAGCCACGGGAGTCGTCGCGGAGGTCGCCGCTGGTGCAACGGAAGTCGTCGCGCCCGGGACGGGAGTCGCCTACGCAGGCGAGGGAGTCGCTGCCCGAGAGACGGGAGTCGTCACGCCGGGGACCGCCGTCGTTGCCGCCGGGACGGGAGTCGTCCACGCCGGAGAGGGAGTCGCTGCCCCAGAGAGTCGTCGCCGCCGGGACGGGAGTCGTCCACGCCGGAGAGGGAGTCGCTGCCCCAGAGACGGGAGTCGTCGCCGCAGGGGCGGGACTTGCTAGCCCCCGGAACGGAGTCGTCGCCGCCGCCCCCACCACCGGACTCACCTTGGCCCCGGGAGTCGTCGCGCAAAAAACGGCAGTCGTTGCGCAAGAAACGGCAGTCGTTGCGCAAAAAATGGCAGTCGTCGGGCCAACTGCGGGGGTCGTCGCATCCCGGACCGCAGTTGTCAACCCCCCCAACCCGGCCGAGCATGATCCAAGCCTCTTGGCCCCCGTAGGAGCCGTCATCCCTGGTGCCGATTCCGAAACCCAACTTTTCTCCGGAACCCGCGCCACGGTTGCCCCCACCGGCGTCAAACCCAAGGAAACAATCCGCCCTGTCCCCGGACCCCCTGAGAACCAACCACCCCCCCTTTCAAACCCAAGGCAACGGCACCAGTCAGCCCCATCACCACTGAAGATGAAGAAGAATCTGATGACAATCACGCAGAAACCGCTGAAGATGACGAAACGGTAACCATTGAAAAATGCTTAGAGCTACTTGCAAGTCAAGCCGACAAGCACACTGGCGACAACGCTGAGGAGGACGAGCCCGAGTCAGATCCGGAAGATAAGACAAATACAACAACGAAGACCTCAACCATCCCCCCAACACCAGCGCAAGCACCACATACCGACATACCCGCTCCACCTGCGGCCACTTATTCCGACCCTTTGATCCTCAAGCACTCCATCAAAACCTTCGCTCGGGAAAATGGTTTCGTCATTGTCAGGAAGAGGACTGTTCCCGGGAAGAGTATCACTTTCAAATGTGACAGGTAAGTACTCCTTCTGCATAGCACTCAAATCAGAGCTCATGCTCAATGGCCAACCTTTTTCTCCATCTTATGTGTAGGGGTGGTAACCCAGCTCAAAACAGACGGAAAAATGACACACGCCCTGGACCCATCGTCAGTCGACTGATCGATTGCCCATTCGACGCAAGGGCCCAGATCCAGAAGAAGGCCGGGGGGGAATGGAAGTTTACCGTGGCCGATCCCCGACATAATCATGCACCCAGTGAAGATCCGTCCGGGCACACTGCCAATCAAAAACTCTCGAAGGAGCTCTATGAGCAAATGAAGAAACTAGGTGACGCGGGTTTAAAACCAGCTCAGGTTCTCCAATCACTCAAGAAGACACATCCCGATCAGTCGATCTTGGCCACAATTTCAACTGTGTACTCCGCCAGAAAGAAGGCTTGGGCCGAAGAGTTACGTGGTCTCAGCCCGATAGTTCATCTTAATCAAACCCTCACGACGGACTTCACCTCAGCAACCAAGGTAAATGATTCTGGCGAGATTCTAGGTCTTTTCTTCTGTCACAACCTCTCGCTTCAGCTCCTCCGTCATTTCCACTACGTCTTATTCCTTGATTGCACCTACAAGACAAATAAGTATTGCATGCCCCTCCTCCACATTGCCGGCGTCACTGGATCCAACAAATCCTTCAGTGTCGCCTTCGCTTTCCTTCACGAAGAAACCGAAGAATACTACAAATGGGCTCTTGAATCTCTGCTCAACGTGTTCACTAGCAACGATATTCCTATCCCTGAGGTAGTCCTGACCGACCGGGAACAAGCGCTTATGAATGGTCTCGACTCCGTTTTCCCCACCGCGACTCATCTACTGTGTACCTGGCACATCAACAAAAACCTGATTTCTAACGGGGCCAAAATGATCAAGGACAAGAAGAAGGAGGCTGAAATGATTCAACACTGGAAGAATCTCATCAAAATCACGACCACCGGGGACTTCAGGGCGGCCTTTGACCGATTCGCTGGAAGTTATGGTGAGAAATTCGGCAATTACATGCGCTCAAACTGGCTCCCAGTTGCGGAGAAATATGCGAACGCCTGGACGAGGGAAGTGCCCCATTTTGATCACCGGACCACATCTCGGATCGAATCTTCACATTCCTTTGTCAAATCACATCTCCTTGGTCCCAATCAATCCCTCAACTCAACCATCAAAATGATCACCAACACCATCGAAACCCAAGTACACAACATAAGCTCCCTCCACCGCCAGGAAAAAATGGACGCTCTCATGAATCTTGGAGCCCTGTTCGACAATTGCCTTGGCCGGATCACCCATTTCGCTCTGAGGAAGGCACAAAACAACCTGCGCATATCAGCAAACCTCGGGAAGAAGGATCATTGTAACGGCTTTCATCGACTCCGGACAGGTATTCCGTGTAAACATCGCCTAGCAGAGTTGGCTCGGTCAGGCGGACGGTTGGAACCCGAAGACTTTCACCAACAATGGCATATCCACGTACGTTTGTTACATTTTTAAGCTCTTAGAGTCCTTAATAACATAGTGCTTCCTTTTAATCAACAACAGGATATCCAACCAACAAACAATCCGGGACAAAACAACCCACAAGCCCTAGACCAGATCGAAACCGTCAAGCAAAGGCTCCTCCAAACGAACCCGAGCACGTTAACCATACAGCTTGACGCGATCTCTCGACTTCTGGACGGCTCTGCCACAGTTGTCGACCTTCAGTTACCGAAGCAGGTGCAATCAACTCGAGGTAGACCCAAAGGAGCTCTGAACAAACCCAAATCAACAACACGGGACCCGTCGGAATTTGAACACATTGAAAAAAAGAGGAAACTTGAAGAAAAAGACGCCGAGAAGAACAAGAAACGGAAGACCAAAGAAGATAATCAGAAGAAGAAAGAGCAGGAAAAAAAGAAGAAGGACGACAGCAAAAAGAAGAAGGAAGAAGAGGCCCCAAAGAAGAGGAAGGAAGAAGAGGATTCGACCAGTCAGGAAAGGAGCCACCAAGCCAGTTGTCGTCGTCCCCAAGAAGAACGTGAAAGCAACCGCCCCTGAATCCTCCCCTCCCTCCTCCCCCGTTCAAGCCAACCATAAAAAGCTCAAAGTCAATTCCTCTGCCGATGCCTCCGTGCCCTCGTCCCCCATCACTCCCACCGAACCGGCCCCATTGGTGCTTCTAGACCCTCCCCCACGTCCATCTAACCCCCATCTCCCAATTCCCCCATCCGATCTCGATTACCTTCAGTACTTACCCAAAATTATTCAACCTGATGTCCGGGATATTTTGGATGTTCGATCAGATGGACACTGCGGATTCTGAGCTGTGGCTTACGCATTGGGACGCGGGCGGGGCGATTATATGGCGGTTCGATATGAATTGTACAATGAAATTGTTCGCCGGCCTGATTGGTATCGAAACGTGTTCCACAAACTCCACGGCGCTTTGGATCGTATCAAGGTTGATTCGCCATCACCTTGTTCAAAGCCTCATTGGATTTCCATGCCTTTGACGGGTGAGGTAATGACCAACGCCTTTGAGAGGCCTGTTTGCTTTTTTTCTGACACCTTTTGCCAGACTTTTCTTCCTTCTTTCTGCCCCCCCAATGACAACCCCCCTATTTGTTGAGTGTGACTCAAGGTGAAAACCAAAGTTCACGGCTGACAGGCCAGTGACACTTTGTTGAGTGAGAAAAATATGTTTTGATTCACTGAAGGAAAAACTACGATAACTATCAGGTATAGATTATATACATGATTGTTTGAGTTCTTGTTGAAGCATACTGTATAATGAATAATCATATTCATAATCCAACACACCCCCTTGCTGAAACAACACATTAAACTAATTTAAACTCCTAAACTTATTTAGAACTAAAGTGAAGGTAGTTTATTTGTGGGGACAGAAATGAATAAAGTGGAGTGGGGAAAAAAATCATGTTTAATCAAGCCAGAGATCCATCGGAGGTCGGAGACAGAGAGATGTCATGATAACAAGTATATCAACCACTACCGGGGAGGAATTAGCTTTCAGGATTTGCCGGAGTTGCCTATCCTACGAACGTCAATTTATCTACTTTGGGGTTCATCCCCAGACAACGTCAATTTCCGGGTCGAAATCGTCTTCCTCTTCTTCATCATCGCTAGGGCCGCCTCCTCCTAAAGCCACCGCCGACGCCGCACCAGCTCGAGTTCCAAACCTGGCTTTCTGTTTGTTCTTGGCGGAGGGATTAGAGCAGGCTGAGGAGTGGTGGCCGACTTCACCACAGTTCCAGCATCCCGCTTTCTTCTTCTTCACTACTGCGGGTGCTGCATACGACTCTTGAACTTGATCGAACGGGGCCTGCATCGATACTTCGTGTGATTCTAGCGCCCCAATCGCATCGTCAAGGGATATCTCGTTTGGGGAGTACACGAGATGATCGCGAATAGGCTTCCAGGTTTCGTCTAGACCTCGAAGCAGACGATCACATATTTGCTGGTCTGCAGGGGAAAGCTTGACTGACTTGAGATCGGACGCCGCGTTCCGGATTCGAGCAATCCATGTGGCGATCGGTTTGCTGGGATCGTGACGAGCCGTCCAGAAAGCGTCCTGAAGCATCATGCGACGTGCCCGAGTATTCTTCTCGTAGGCGTCGCAGATCGTTTTAAATAGGACGTTGACGGGCTTCGTGTCCTTGTAACGAATCGCTAGATCGACTGACAGTGTCATTTTCAGAGTTGCCCTGGCTATATCCGACAAAGCGTCCCAGTCGGAGCCCAATTCTTCTGCATAGTATAGTCGGTGAGAGCCCTGGGTTACTGGTTTGGGTTCCTTTTCTTTGGAGTCAGGTGCCGGACGAACAAGTTTGCCGGTCACGATGTCGTGCACCCCCTGAATAGCGAAGAGCTCTTCAAGTCTTGTTCGCCAAGCGGGGAAGCCAACCGAATTACCGTCCAAGATCGGGACGTTTCCGATAAGTGCCGACGGATTTTGAGTTGTGCGGGCCGGCATCGTTTATGAAAGAGACAAACAGAATTAGGTCGAGTGTTCGGTGATAGTTTGGTGATAGTCCGCGAGCGTAATTGAGAAAAGTTTGTCTTGAGCAGGGTGAGCGGATGGGCCTCATAACCTGTTGAGTGTGACTCAAGGTGAAAACCAAAGTTCACGGCTGACAGGCCAGTGACACTTTGTTGAGTGAGAAAAATATGTTTTGATTCACTGAAGGAAAAACTACGATAACTATCAGGTATAGATTATATACATGATTGTTTGAGTTCTTGTTGAAGCATACTGTATAATGAATAAGCATATTCATAATCCAACACTATTCTTATTGCTTTTCTACATGAATTTTCTCATTTTGTCCCCTTGCAGTTACATAACCCAAGACTGTTTGCTGCCCCTCAGCTCATGAACGCGTGGAAAGAAAAGGCGTCAGAAGAGGCTTGGGGATGGGAAGCCCAATTTTCTGATTCTTTCAAATTGACTGTAGAGAGGAAAATAGAAAATCCAATGAAACACTACTAGGGGTTTTTTTTATCCTGTGTCTTTTTTAGTTATTGATTTTTTTCCTCTATGTCCTTTTTTACCCTGTTTTTTTCCTTACATTTCTGATCATTTTTGAATGTTTTTGGCCCGTTTGTCATCTCTTTTATCTCTTGCAATGGATTTTCTCAATGATTCTAATTTTTTTATCATTCTAATTTTTTTATCTTGCCTTTGGGGTGGGGCCTCAGTGGCTCAACCTTTTTTTGAAGTCTCTGAGGGTGCCATATGGCGACGACTCCCATTTATAGTTGGACGACTCCCATATTTTTTTAACATAGAAAAAAAGGCAAAACATTGGGCGGAATTGGTGGGACGACTCCCTCGTATTAGGTGGACGACTCCCTTGAATTTAATTATACAAAAAATGTGAAATTTTAGGCGGAATTGGTGGGACGACTCCCGTACTTTAGTCTGACGACTCCCTTTAATTTAAATATAAAAAAATGCGAAAAATTAGGCGGAATTAGTGCGGCGACTCCCGCATTTTAGTCAGACGACTCCCAATTTTTTAAGAAAAAAAATAAAAAATCTCCAGGTAAAATTAGTACGACGACTCCCTATGTTTTTTCAGGAATTGGAAGGACGACTCCCGTTCGACGACCTCCCGACCAAAACGGGAGTCGTCGACTAATTTTTGGGAGTCGTTTTTCCAACCCCCTCAATTTACTCTGCTGTCCAGATTTGCTTTGCATGGGATTCTGACTCTGAGGGCCAGCTTGGGCTTGGCTCGAATGGGGATTTGGTGCCGTCGGGCTCGCCTCATTTGGGTTTGACATGTTGGATTTTTGGATGCCAATATGTTAATTGATCAATTTATCTGGAAAGCTGGGAGGACAACAGAAACCCTCCCGTAAATTTGGAAGGCGGGCCTCTCTGGGGCACACCAAAACCTCTGGGAGATTTTGGTCCAGATCTGGATCTAGAAGGGCCTTCTAGATTGATGGGAAGTCTTCCAGTGGAGGACTTCCCGTTGTCTAAAATTGTAAATTTAGAAGGAAGGGCTAAAATTTATTGGCTGGTGAAAATCGTTCAACCTCAGGATTTCCGCAGCAAACAAAGTTTAGCCGGTCTGTCTAAAATTAGCCATCTGGTTGACGGGAAGTCCTCCAGTGGAGGACTTCCTGTCACCTAAATCTCTTGATCTAGAAAGGGGTCCTAAACTCTATTGGCTGGTGAAAACTTGATCTTGATCAATTTTTGCCAGCAAATAACGTTTAGGATGTCCTTCTAAATTAACAGATTTGGACGACAGGAAGTCCTCCACTGGAGGATTTCCCGTCAACCAGATGGCTAATTTTAGACAGACCAGCTAAACTTTGTTTGCTGCAGAAATCCTGAGGTTGAATGATTTTCACCAGCCAATAAACCTTAGCCCTTCCTTCTAAATTTACAATTTTAGACGACGGGAAGTCCTCCACTGGCAGTGTCCCACAAAGATTTATCTACATGTAAATCTTTATGAATCATGGTAGGTAATCAAATGTCCAAGGTGCAACAGTAACACACAAACTTCCAAGCAATGCATGATCCACTTTCTGGAATAGATCCCTCTCTGGGGAGCAGTGCCAGGTTTTTCTACATGGATGAAAACCACTTACAATTGATTATTGTTGAAATTCTCTCTTCTTCTGACTTATACTCTTGATCCCTTTATTAGAATCATTCTATAGCATCATTACTAATTATGTTTGACTAATGGCAAGAGAGCAGGAAAGAAAACCTGGAGGAAAAATGAGAAATGGAAAAGATGATGATGAGACTCAAAGAAAAAGAAACCAAAAAAATTGCATTGTTTTTCTACCCTTTGATTTTCCAATAATGGATGAAAGGATGCAAGTTGAGTGCCTAATCAAAAGAGAGATGGAAAGAAAACCTGAAAAACAAATGGGAGATCTAAATGTGAGGAAAAAAAGAAGATGGGAGGAAGAGAATGAACATGAACTGCAGACCTGGAGGCAAATCAAATAATGACACAGATGAGGATGAAACTCAAAGAAAATAACCCAAAAAAATCAGATGTGAGCAAAGGAAATACAAGTTTACGAGTATGAAACTACATAGTCTAACATCAGGTTTCCAACTTTGTTTCTCTCATTCTTCTGTGCATTAAGACGGGGGAAAATGAATCCCCAAACTGAAATTTCAAGACTTGCTTGTAATTTACAACATACTTTTGCAACTTACACAACCCTCAATGCTAATGCTTTCACCATTGATAAATACATTCCTGCAGTTGATTGAGGTTTTTGGGGAGCTGATAAGTAACTAGTTGCTACAGCCAGGCAAATTCTCATCCTGCAGAATTAATTGGAGCAATGACTCACCAAATTTTACTGCAGCCAAATTTGAGCTCCCATTATCAACTCAGGATATCCTGGTCTTCCTTATATTTGATTTGTACTTCCTGTCCTCTAAGAAATAAAGGTAGAATTTCCCCCCTACTTGTGTCCTCTTGTTGAGAGAGCCAGACTGACAACCTGACCACTAATCACTATACTATAGCTCCCCTTTCAAGATGATGACCTTCATTGGTTGCTCACTGTCTAAATCCCTTGGGCCTGAAACTCCACTTGAAGCTTCAATACTTGTTACCTAATTTGGATGACCTAGAGTAATTCTCTGGTCCAACTCTAAACGCACACCAAAAAAAAGAACTCCTCAAATATATTAACATAGAATTAGATACACAGTGTTCAATTTGAAATCCAAACTTCACCTTCTTTTCTAAACAGAAAGAACTCAAATTAAACCTTTTTTTACTGTAAAAAGGTTCATCAAAAAAGGACAAGTGGGATTCTGCTTGACTGTAAGATTTTTTTAGCAGCTGATGATTTGATTTCTACCTGAGATATAAGGGCCTCAGTATGGGATCCCAAAAGCTACAAAGACACTGCAGTGTCATCAGTTCAAGGCCCATGTCAAGTTTTATTGATGAGTATAAAAGAATCCCTCTGCCCCAGACACATGAAGGTCCCTTGGTTTGGTTCATACAGACAAACATTGGTTGCTTCAGACTCAGTTATTGTTACATGTGTTAAAAAGTGCAGTGTCATTCAGGAATGTGATGGATGTGTTCAACAAAAAAGATACAGTTTTCCTTCTTGAAATTGAGATGTGGAATGTGGTGCGGCAAGGGGTCAAGTGGTGATGTGGACCCCCCTCCAGTGGGTGGGTAACTTCCTAGATTTCCCTGCTCGATTTTTTCAGAGCGACTCTGGAAGAAAACAGAACAGAACACCACAACCTCATTGCCAAACCAACCCCATCGGAAATTTTTGTTGACCTCGTTCATGTCTAACGACCTAAGACCATCCTCATCCAATCACCATCATCATCATCCCTCACTCTCAAAATAAGCCACGTCGTTCTATTCTACCAAGATTTCAAGCTGCCTTTCTTGTGAGTGTAGAAGCACAAAAAACCCTGCTCTTTTTTTGTTCGCTTGAGTCTAACCTTTGGTCTTTTTTTCTCCTCACCTTCTGCGGTTGTTTTACAGCATCCAGTATCACCAATTTCATCCTAACCAGCCCCAAACCTGACCATCCTTCCTTGACCAAGAAGCGTGAATAATCGACCCAACATGGCCGTAGGAATCGTGAACATCGGCAAAGATGCCCGAGGAGATATGTTCCACCGGTACAAGATGCCTGTCTTGCAAGTCAAAGTTGAAGGCAAGGGTAACGGGATCAAAACGGGTGAGTGATCTTGACCTGATCGTCCCCCATGTCTGCTCGCTTTAAGGTGTTGATCATTCCGTCTGAATTCTGCTAGTCATACCCAACATGTCCGATATCGCCCGTGCATTGGCTCGTCCACCTACCTGTAAGGAGTTTCCCACAACTTCCTGTGATATGTTTGCGCAAGCCTTGACATGGTGGTGGATATATGGCTGTGTTTTAATTTTAGATACCACGAAATTTTTTGGCTGTGAGCTTGGTGCACAGACGACGTTCGACGAGAAATATGATCGATACATTATCAACGGAGCCCACCAGGCCGACCGACTGCGAGAGCTGTTGGACGTCTTTATCGACAAATTTGTGCTCTGTTCGAGCTGCAAGAACCCGGAGACAGAGCTGATGATCGTGGGGCGAGACGAGCTAATCTGGCGGGACTGCAAAGCCTGTGGCCATCGCGGCCTTGTGGACAACCGACACAAGCTGTGCACATTCATCCTCAAGAACCCGCCGGAGTCGGCGAAGAAAAAGTCCAAGCGAGACAAGAAGGCCAAGGCTGGCGAGGCCGGTGCGGCCACCGCCGAAGGTGGCTCTTCCGAGGACGGCCATAACAGCCAGGACGAGCTGACCAAGCGGATCGAGGGCGAGGCTGTGGACGAGAAGACCGCAGAGGCCACCTCGACTCTCAAGGATGATGACTGGTCCGCCGATACCTCGGCGGGAGCCGTCAAGGCCCGCATGAAATCCCTCGAGGCCGGGATCCAGAACGGGCTGAGTCTGGCTGACGAGGATGACGATGAAACCCCTGGTGGACCCTACGGAGTCTTCAGCGAGTGGATCCTCACTAACCGTGACTCGGTCTCGGACGCCGAGATCCTCGTCAAGGCTAAAGAACTCGGAATCGAAAAGAAACATAAGACCGTCCAGATCCTTGCCCAGAACCTGTTCACTGAGAATGCGGTCAAAGAAGTTTCCAAGCATCATGCTCTCTTTACTAAGGTAATTCCTCTCTATTTGTAGACGTCAGTCATGATGGTCTCTCTGACTAGAATGTTTGTTACATATTATGTGCAGATGGTGAACAGCGAAAAACATCAGAAAGCCCTGCTTGGAGGTATTGAGCAATTATGTGGGGAAGCATATCCAAGCTTGGTTCCTTTGGGCGTCCCGAAGATCATCATGGAGTTCTACCAAGCTGACATTTTGGAGGAAGAGGTGATCAAACAATGGGGCACTCATGTTTCCAAGAAGGTCAGTCTCTCACTCTCTGCTTCTCCCTCTTGTTGCTCAATGTTAATTTTGTTTTACAACTGTTGTATGTGGTGTGGATGATAGTATGTGGATAAGGACGTCAGCAAGAAAGTCAGACGGGCTTGCGAACCTTTGTTGAAGTGGCTCGATGAGGCCGAAGATGAAGATGATGAATGATGAAAGAAAAAGCAACATATCCCAGACAGCTTGACATTGTAGATCTTGTATCCAGAATCCCCTTTCTTCTCGACAAAAAAGAGTGATACATGCAAAATATCAAAGTTCTATTTCTTAGCTGGACTTCATGAACAAAAATGTCCGCAGCCAAACTGTGAACACCATGGCAGTTATTGGGGGATGTCAGAGTTTGGGGTTCTTGAGGACTGGTCAAGGGTGATGGGGATTGTCGAGTCGGGAATCGGGGTGAGTGGGCTCGACCAGCGGGTCGGTGCTGATAGTGATAGCCGTAAGTGATTGAGCAGTGGAGTCTAGCCTATGAAACCCGGAAGGAGCAGTCAGCTCAGGTACATGGGACGTATGTTGATAGCCGGAAATGGGGCTAGAATCAAGCAGGCGTTGGATTGGACTGGTGGTGGCTCGTGTTAATTAGACAAGTACAGCGACATGAAAGTTGGTGGAAGATTGAAGGTGTGAATAGGCGTGGTACAAAGTGAAGGAAAGGAAGTAGGGCATCGGGTTGGTCGATCGCTTTGGCATCTATCTGCATTTGATCGTTCTTGGTTTGGATACTCTTGGCGAAGGGCGAGGAAAGTAGAAAGGGCCCCCAGCCTTGATTGGCGTACTGTGACATCTGAATGAACACGCTTGCTTTTTTTTGACCAAAAATGCCAACAATTGGGTTTGCACGCATTTTGCTGCCATGGCGCTAGTGCCAAGGGCCTCAGAGCTCACTGGAGGCACTTCATCGCACGTCTCACAAGGCGAGAAGGGGGTCATGGTGGCGACGTGAATCACACGAAAAAACGTCAAGTGACCGAGAGGTGAATCATTGCAACCGAGAAGCACAAACAACTTGGTGGACAAACGAAAGCTCCAGTGTTGGGGTATACAAAAAAATTCACTAATGGAGAACGACAAAGCAAGGCAAGAACGAAGGCAACGAAACAAGTGAACTCCCAGATATACAATACGAATGAGATGGAAGGGAGAACAGGGTGAGATCAGCAGAAGTGATCAAAAATGGGAAACATGTCCAAAGCTACGATAGGGGAACGCAGCTGATGAGCGCTGCTAGACAATCTCGGGCAACATGGTGTTCACGCTCAGTGGTAGAAGACGTTGTTGGGGGCCGAGTTGAAAACAGTGTGTTCTCGGGATGATTGGCTGGCATCCTGTTGGCTGAGGCTGCTGGATGAGCCGTAGGGGGTGGAGGAGTATTGGGAGTTCAACTGGTGAGAGGCAGCGTCGCTGGCGCGGTCAGAGGAGTAGCTCAAACCGCCGTTGCCGAAGCCGTTGTCGAAGCCGTCTCCGTTACCGAAGTCGTTTCGGTAGTTGGATTGGCCAAGTCCCAAGAGACCCACATCGCGAGTTTGGAGCCGTGTGTGTTCTTCGGATGATTGGCTGGCATCCTGTTGGTTGAAGCTGCTGGATGAGCCGAAGGGGGTGGAGGAGGATTGCGAGTCCATCTGGTGAGAGGCGGCGTTGCTGGCGCGGTCAGAGGAATAGCTCAGACCGCTGTTGCCGAAGCCGTTGTCGAAGCCGTCTCCGTTGCCGAAGCCGTTTCCGTAGTTGGATTGGCCAAGTCCCAAGAGACCCACATCGCGAGTTTGGAGCCGAGTGTGTTCTTCGGATGATAGGCTGGCATCCTGTTGGTTGAAGCTGCTGGATGAGCCGAAGGGGGTGGAGGAGGACTGCGAGTCCATCTGGTGAGAGGCGGCGTTGCTGGCGCGGTCAGAGGAGTAGCTCAGACCGCCGTTGCCGAAGCCGCCGCCGTAACCTCCTCCGTTGAAGGGAATGCCGTCACCTCCGTTGTAGGCCATTGGGTTTGACTGGAGACCCCCGAGGCTGTTGGGGGAATGTCAAGTTAGCCTTAACTCACGACTTGGGGTCGGACTTGGACAGGTTGCTGGACTTACTCTAGGATTGGGGATCCCATGGCGGCTGCAGCGGTGGAAGGAGAGAGGTCGCAAAACAGTTAGTGAAGAGTCTCTCGTAAGATGGAGCAGGGCTGCTAGAGTAGGGACACAAGAAGAGACGCACCGGAAGCCAAAAGGCAGGCGACGAAAATTACACTTTGCATACTGGTGAGCTTGAAGGTTGGTAAAAGAGGGTGTGTAAAAGGAAGGAATATTATTTGCTTGACTGGTGTGATTACTTGGAGAATGAAGATGTGGAATGAGGAGGGCGAAGGATGCCACACGCGCATCTATTTATATCCCAAATCTTCAGTCTGCCTTGGTCCGTATTCTTGCTGCTTGCGATCCAGTTGCGCACGAAACTTGCCAGCATAGATTGGCAATTTCAACCGGGTCACACAGGAAACGGAAGCTGCTCTCTCACCGCGTTGGTGGAGTGCGTCATTAGACTGGAGAGCTGGGGGGAACTGCAGTGGCAACCGAACGGGAATTCAATGAAACTGACGCTGCTCTCAACGCGTTGGCGGAGTGGATCCTGACAATCTTGATATGTAGTTGCCAGAGCAAGAGAGCCCGGTTCGTAAGACGATCGATGCAAGTCCGAAAGTCAACACATGAATGCACAAAATCCTCAACAGCTTGTCCATCAAACTGAGACACCTTGCAACCGGATTGATCTTCATGTTGACGGACATTCGGCTTGAGATATTATCCGGAGCGGGAAAGCGTACTGCGTGAAGAAAAATATTCCAAGAAGAGCGGGCACCGCCCAGAAATCAGGATGCCCTACCGTGTCTGGCTGGACATGAACTTCCCCATATTGAAATTATATTATGTTGCAAATGAAGGGGTTGAGCAACCCATCAAGAAACTAATGGGCTACCTTATGCCGACTGGTGCTGTGCGGCACAAGATATTCCCTCCTGTCGAACCAGTTTGGCCTTGCTCTGGCCGCTTAGGTTGAGGGCAGTTTGTCTTTTTGCCGCGTCAATTACAGCGTGGAGAGTGGCGTAACATGGGCAAGATGGGTTGGAGGGTCCGAAGTGGGCTTAATTCTCAGGAACATATCCGTAGATCTCTCTGACCGGTGATATGCATATTTCTTCTTCAACAAATCTATTTGATCGTTGCTAGTGCACTGATTCAGTGAGGACGCGACTTCATAGAAGACGACATTGTTAGTGCAACGACTTGATGTAACCCTTGATTTTGTGAAGCCTTTCAACCGATAACAATGAAGTGAGAGACGTGTCAAAATGGGACAAATTGAGAGATGTGTCAAAGTGGGAGAAAGTGAGAGACAAGTCAAAATGGGATAAAGTGAGAGACAATCAGAAGCAATGAACAACTCGCTGAAATCAAGCGAAACTATTAGGAACAGTACAGATACAACGGTCGTCGCAAGGATGGGGTCCACAAAAAGGGAGACTCCGCGGCAAAGCAACTGATCTGATTCTGAATACTCTCGGGTATGCTGGTGGGGAAACTTGTTGGTAGCCAGAACCATCCGGATCGACACTGGAGCTGGACTCCAACTGCTTCTGGGAAGATTGGGATTTCGTGAATTGTTCGGAAGATGTGCTTCCACCCAAGTCGCCGAAATCTGGATTAAAATTGGACTGCTCTTGCTGCGAGTCGACTTCTTGCTGGCTTTCGGAAGAGGTGCCGAAACTGTTGCCAAAGCTGCCGCCTCCGACGAAGGGTTGGGTAGCACCCATCTGATTGAACTGGCCAGCTTGAAGCCTTTTGGGAGAATTTCAAATCAGTCAATTTCACAGGATTAGTAGGACTAGATGATTCTTCTCTACTTACTCTATGGGGGAACCCACGGCGGCTGTATGGGTAGTGGAAGATAGTGGTAACACTAGTGTCAGTAAAGAAACTTTCGAAAGGGTCTTCCACAGAGGGGACGGAAAGAAAGACGCACCGGCAGCCAAGAGGCAGGCGATGTAAATCATGCTTTGCATACTGTGAGATTTGAGGGTTGGTGATAGAGGGTGTGATGGGGAAGGAGTGTGGTTGAGGCTGATGCGGACTGAGATGAGTGGGCACAATACGGCCATACACGCCTCTATTTACAGCCGAAAGTATCTCCATTCTTGATGCTTGCTGCAGTTGAGGTCAAAACTCATCCGTCCAGATTTGCAATGGTGAGCCGTTCGACTTGATCCCGGGGGAAACTGAAGCTGTTCTCTCACTGCGTGAGTGGAATGCCTCGATGCTCACTGTGCTGGGACGACACTCAACTGGTTGGTGGAATGGATCATTATCAACCCTGAAAGTTGCCAGAGCGAGACAGCTCGGTTCGGAAGCAGATCGAATGAAGTCGGAAAGTCAACCCATAAATACAGAAAAAGATTGCCAATTCTTGAACTGCCCATGAAACCGAGAAAACTTGCCATCGGATTGATTGACTTTGTCTTGTTGACGGATGTTGGGCTCAAGACGTTTTCTTAACTGCAACACACGGATTGGCGCCACATTCATCATCTACAGGTGGGCTTGATCCTGAGCTGCTTGCCCTGTGGAACTCTGGCCAGAAACGTGTGCATTTGCCTTCCAATGATTCTATTCAATGGCAGCCAGTGCTCAGGTTTAGCCCAGAAGTCACTCTCACGAAGCGATGTGAATACTTTCAAGGGCATGCAAAGGAATCAGAAGAGGATGAAGTAGGCACCCATGAGAAGAGATTGCCATTATGTGATCAAGACAAACGGAAGATGCAACAGATTGATGTGATCCTCGGACCTACTACTACTATTAACTAAGTCAACCAACGGAGGACAATGAAGTCAGAGGGATCATTCGAGATGGGACAAGTTGGGAAACATTATAGAGTTGCACAAAAACCAGTACAGATCATTCAGGATGAAAAAATTAGTTCGACCAAAATTGGCAAGTGGGACTATCACGGAGGTGACCTGGGGAGCAATCATTTCTTGAAAAACGTAGTGAAGCCGGTGGCGAATTGAGGTTGAATGTGGCAAGTCGGATTACGGCCAGTGACAGATACAATGTGTTGCGCACATGTTTCCTGGAGGACAATCTGGCTTGGGTTTGCCGCGGTACAATGGTGTCATAGGGATATCAATTGTCCTGGTTGGGGAGGAGTTTAAATCAGTGGAAGTGCAGAATGGGTTTGACAAAATAGTTTTGAGCAATTACGGTTGAGGAGCCCCAATGGCAGCTGCAGGGAGACAAAAGAGTGGTGCGGGGGCATGTCATCAGTAGGGAAACCTTGGAAAATGATGGAAAGCTTTGGAACTGAAGGGAAGGAGAGCATCACGGACCGGCAACCAGGAAGCAGGCAAATAGTGGCATGAAGCCTGATAAAGCACTGCGCGACGAAAATCACCTTTCACAGGCTATGTATGACAGCTGCCTGATTTGCACATGAGGTCCATTGAGCTCCAGCGTAGAAAAAAGCCATTGGCAAGTCCCAGAATTGAACTCTTACAACATGCTGATGACCGGTGACGGGAGCTGACTGGGTGATCTGGAGTCGACTCCGAGTCCGACGTCAGCTAGGCATTTTAAAAAGACTTTGTGTCGGATGGGTTGAACCTCAGATGGAGTTATGAACTCTACTTTGGGCGATGGCCAGAATTGTCAGCTTTGAAAAAGCTTTGAGGACCCAGGCGTGACGGGCCCAGCTGGCCCTGATGTAAAGGGACGCTTTTCTCCCAAAACATCTCAAAACCTGAGATGCCGATGAAACGACGAAACACATGCCAGCCCATGCCGGCTGAAGTCCCCCAGCCGCAGGTGACTTGGTGTTGGCCCGCAGCAGTTAGCTGAAGAGGAACAGATCTTATTCAAGCAAGCAATTCGGAGAAGATCGGGTTTCACCCTGACCCGTGTCCCTCTGTCTTCTTGTTCGGCTATGAATGATTCCATGTCAAAAGTACAATTGCAGCTTGAAAATGAACTCGCACCAATCCTTCAAGTGCAACTACCGTGCTGCCTTACGACCGCTGGTGATGTGTGTCACAACTGCCGGGAGTAAATGACTTAACAGTCCCTGCAGCTGGTCCAGGAGTGGCCTTGCTCTGATCGCTATGTGAGACGTCCCTTGCACAGAAGCGTTTCCCCTCTGCCATCAGAGCTCAACAGAGGGCACATACTTGACTTGGGGGACTTGGTGCGCGTTTTGGGGGTTTAACCAAATCGGTGGCAGCAGCATGGACGCGAAGATTGGCTCTGCGTGATGAAGGTGGGCTTTATCGTGGCGTTGCTGTACTGACAATATAGTCCCATTTTAAGAAAGTGGCGAATTCTTTGCCATCATGTTCTTGGAAATTTCGCTATCATTCCGCTCCATCTTTTCCACAGATTTGTGTTACATATGTAGTGAGATTGGAAACATCAGCTTTCATCCGCAAACCATTTCAACGCTTCTTCGAATCTGATACTCCTTGTCAAGTCTAACGATGCAGCTCCTTATAAAGTCACTTATCATCATCTCCTTGACCTCTGCTGAGTGTCTTCGCGCTGCGGGTCAATGTGGTGCAAGCATGCCTAAGTATTGTGGTACTCACGTCACACTACCCGGCCACGATCTCAGCGTTGAACCTATGAACGGGTATATACGTAAGTCTCGATTTCAGTTAAAAGTAACTGCCCACAAGTACTTGCTCTCATAAGTGTTGTTTATCCCATTCATCCTCGAAGTGAAAAGTCTCACCGCAGGACTAGAAGCATCTCATTGCTTCTCCCGCAGCGCCGGCACCAAATACTGCTGCTTAGAGCCACCCAAATTCACCGATGTCAGTGTTATCTCGGCATCGAATTACGGAATGGTCAAGCTGATGTGATGATGCCGGACTGTCCATGTTTCCTTTCGGGTCTTTAGCCGGCCAACAATTTCGTCTCCGACGAAGATTTCAAGAAAGCTCAATGCAGTCCTATAGACTAAACGTGGCCTCCGATGCTCATCATGATATCCAGCCGATCGATTTCCTGGACTCTTACAACACTCATTGCTTTTTGATTTTATGACTCGAATGTCTGCTTGAACTGGCCAAATTATCATTTCTTCAGGTTTACTATTTTCTTATCCTTGCCTTCAATCTATAGCGTCTGTGTTAGGCAATCTTACAGGGATCTGGTCCCCCGGGCTGATGGCCCCACCTGTTTCTATAAATATAAATCCGTTCTGTGCCAGTGGGTATGGGCATCCTATGTGGATTCTCTAAAATCTATCTTGGGGGATCATTATCTTCCGGATTGAGATAAGAGTAAAGTCATTGATTTCTACATCTTTCTCGCGAATGATTGATGAGATTAGGAAGACTACTTTTTTTCTGGGTTTCGACGCTGCAATCTGAGATAACAGTAGTTTGCACAATAATCTCTTGAATTATAGCGAAGCTGTATACAGTGCCATCTAGCCAGAATTTGAGCTTTCAGTTCAGATAGCTGGACCTTATATGAAGCTGATGTAGATGAAGAGGGTGGCTCAATGCGGATGCTCTTATAACAAAGTCAATCATAGATAGATCAACCCACCGAGATTTTTCTCTGGATGTCGAATTGACCTGTCCGCCTAATACTTCGCAAGAAATGACACAAGAGGAGTGCAACCGCAGAGCAATGTGCCACCTGTGTTCCAATTGTGAGAAGGAAAGCTCAACTACCGGGCTGCCTCACATCCACTGGTGAGGTCCTACAAAAATGTCATCGGACAACCTAATTACGGCCTTTCTACATGCTGCTGTTCCAGGATTGGCCTTGCTCTCATGGCTTGGTAGGCTTCCTCCGGAAGGTCTTTTCGCCTCTGCAATAGAGTAAACAGAGGGTAATTAACTTGGGGGACTTGAAGCATCCAGTCCCTGTAGGACGGCAGTGTCCCCTTTCAAATTCAGAGGGACTTTGTTCAGTTGAAGTCAAGCGCGGTGTTTGGGGCTTGTGGCGTGCGGTGTGCCAGCAGTAGACTGGGCTGGAGGTGGGCTTGATCGTGGCGTCGTTAATAGACTTAACATAGCCCCGGGGGCCGAGAGCAATTACCTTTTGCCGAGAGCCTGTTGAACAGGATGAAAAAGTGGCGAATTTCAGGCCATCACCTCGAACTTCGCCGTCATTCTCATGCATTTTTGCCACAGATTTTGTGACATAAAAATAGATTGGAACCATCCACTTTGAACGCAAACAACTCCAACACTTCTTAATTAACTCTTTCGCCAGTCTTAAAAAATGCAACTCCTCAAGCCGTTCATCTTGTTCTCCTTGACCACTGCTGAGTGTCTTCGCGCTGCAGGTCATTGTGACAAATCCAATCCATGGAAGTATTGCGCTAAGCGGACAACAATACGCGAAGAGCATAACTTGAGAGAGCCGAGAACGGGCTATTCAAGTAAGTCTAGATTCAGATAGAAGGAAATTGTTCGTAAGTACTTGATCTGATCAGTTTTGTTGATTCCATTCACTCTCAAAGTGCGAAGTCTAGCCGGCCTAGGACCATGGTACACATGCTCATCCTCAGACCCATCGGCAAAAGAATACTGCTGCTCAGTCGAGCCCAAGTTTACCCATGTCAGCATTACATTGTACACATGTCGACTTTCCGGAATTGTGAGAGGCTGATATGAGACTGTCTATCCTACATAAATATCTCTCCCATCGATTCTACAGCAACCCAGTGATTTCGTCAACGATTACGAGTTCGGACGGGCTGGTTGCGGTCCGGCAACGTAGACGCGGTCTCCGAGTACGATGTTCATTAAGGATGTCCGGTTGCTCGATCTCCTGGGTCCAGATCATACCCATTTTCCTATTGATTTTATGACGCATACCACAAGTGCTTGGAAGCTACAGATTACCCATCTTCAGGTGCACAATTCCCTGTCTCTTCTCTTCAGTGTCTGGCTTCTTGATTCGTCAATAACACAGGGATGTTTGCCAATGTCACTTTTGTGGGTGTGGGCAATTTGATGAGTTACAGAGGATGGACTGTTAAGAGGAACTTGATTCCAATTGATGCCCTACTGGTAATGTGAGGAATCCAAGGATGCAGTAAGTAGAACACACGAGCCACAGGGGGTGGGGGCAGGGAGCGGCGGCTCAAAATATCAGCTGTTGCGAGATGAACTGCATTCGATCATGAAATTTCAAGGAAAAGTAGATGAAATCATCCGGGCCGATGAAAACTTCTTTTAAGCAAATAAACTCGAGCCGATTGCATGCCTGCTCTACTACAAGCTAGCCTGACGCCAACACTACCATACAATGCAGCGCAAGCTTAAGGCTATTCTAATTAATCAAGTGATGAGAATGAACAAACAAAAATTAAAATGTGAGATCCGTTGAGAAAGAGAGAGGGATTGAGCGGATTTGAGGGCACAGGAAGGGGATTGTTTGCGCTCGTATATTGGAGTCAAACAAAGTTCGAAATCCTGGGCGAGTTGTTTTCTAGAGCGGTCTTAAAGCCGGTCTCGTTTGTAGGTGCCGTTAGGAAATTCCTGGTTGACCGACCTGTAGTGATATTCGATTGAAATTTTTAAAAAGGAAGCGACAACATGGACTTGTCAGTCAGTGGTCAAAAGAAGGAGCAGATTTGAGGCACTGACATCAGCTTGGTGTTTTGACTATAACGGCCAAGTCAGGTGTCCAAGCAAGAAGAGGGAAAAATGTCAGCATTCGAAGGGAAAAAAAATCACAGATGTGTGATTTCCAAGAAATCGCTTTACCCAGGTTTGACGTCATTCCAGGGTTCTTAGATTCGGACAAAGCGCAAGTCAGTGAAAAACATACTCAGGATTTTCAAAAAAAGAGGGAATCTGATGGCAAGAGAGTCACACTTACGGGGGTTACCGCGACGGTCCCAAATGATGTCTGGGCCCCGTGCCAGACGGGAAAGGTACCAGGTAGCGCCGCCCATGGCGGTGCCGATGACGACATCTACAGATTAGTTGAGAGACGAGAAATCGGATTAGTTTGCTTCGTTCCATGAGAGTCATTTCCACGTAGATATTCAGGAGGAGATGGGTAGCTTACAAATTGGAATGGCCTGGGTGAAGTTTCGATTGACCAAATAGAAAAAAAAGGAGACTTCAATGTGTTTTCCGTCCTAGCAAAAAAACAATCGAGTCTCGAAGGAAAGGAGTCTTACGGCTGGGTCGTACCAGTGCTTCCTGTAAAACATTCAAAGAAATCTAAATCAAAGACTATCCTAGATCGTTCCAGCTTCGAGAGGACAATCGGGAACCGGTCAAGACTTACATGGCAGCTCGGAAAGACATGATGATATCGAGATTATTACTGTTTTGATAAGGTTCAGTCAGATTTGATAGCACAGATGAATCAATCAGACTACACTTACGCTTGTGAGAAGTGGAGCTGATAGAGAGTGGCGATTTCGCAAGTCGGTGAACAGTTGGTGGTAGTTTATATGTCCTTGCGAGTGGATGATGGTTCTCTTGGCAGTGGTGGCTGTATGCAGGTGGAGGGGCTGTGCGAGGAGGATCTATCCGACCGTTGCCCGGCATCGAACGGACCCAGCGCTCCGAGTCCTGGCCTCGTCCGCAGCCAACGCCAGCCCAGCTTCGGCCTCCCCATCAAACAGCCCCAGCGAACCTTGCCCATAGATATTCTTCATCATCATCCTCATCAATGGACCACTATGACGTGGTACATACTGCGGGAAATCGATTGGCTGCCAGTTCACCGTGCTCTGATCGGATCGAAATAAGGAAGCTGCTTTCATTTCGGTGCACGAAGTCCGAGACTTTCTTTTGTGTGGGATCATTTCCTTTCGGGCCAGCACGAGCACGAACCTGCTTTATTACTGGATCAATTTTCCATATAGCAGATGTTGTTGATAATTGAATTAGTATGGGGACCCGATTCCAATTCACATATTGCCAACAATCTTCACGGCGAAAACATGGCCTTAATTTCAGGGTACCGGATCATCGAACCGCAGCGCTTGACTGTTGGGTAACAAAAAGACTTGAAAACTGGTGCCAGCTAGTGGCAATCACACAAAGTGAGAGATCAACCAGACTAAAGGGGGAAGGATTGGTAGGATGGCAAAAGATCAAATAAAAACAGGTGTCTTTTTACTAGGTTAGGGGTATTCCACAGGGTGAGAGAATATCAAAAAGAAAAAACTTGGAAGAAAGATTCAACTAAAAACATAACTTATTCATTTATCTTTATTTTTATATTTGAAAAATGTATCTTTTAATGCTGTCTTATAAGCTGATAAGAGAACCTTGGCCATCTTTTGTAAATTGTGGCAAGAAAGATAGAGATTCATTCTGGGATATTTCAATGATTTGAATAGGTTCTTGGCTGGTGAAAGAGAACAAGTGGAGTTTGAGAAGCAAGCCCAAGCCATCACTTCCATTATTGGGGGTTTTTCCTCTTTGTGATACTTGACTCTTTAAGGTCCTGATTAGTTTTCTGGTGTTTGGATTCAATTTTCAGTTTAACTTTCCATCTGGCTACCTATCCGCATGTCACTTGTTTATCTTGAACTCTACCAGAATTCATGGGTCAGATAACACAGTTAGCTATTTGCCCCTCTTTTGGGTTGGGATTGTGTGTCTCAAAACTTGATTGCTCTTGTGCCATAGCCTAGGGCAACAAAGAATAGCTGATCAAGGTTTTTCAGAAATGTCCCCATAATTAAGAGGGAAACATCAGCACCCAGCCTCAAGATCTGAGATTCTTTATCTTGTAGATATTGAGTTATTGAATTTAATTCTAATGTGTTTCACCCGAAATTCAATGGATGATCAAACTGATGTCAAAGCTTACATAGGTTTCTGTGAAATCAATGTGGTTTTTTGCTCAAATTATCTTCCTTTAATCTTAAGGAGAGCTTACGGGTTTCAATTCTTAGTATTTCTGTAAGAGGAAGACTCAAGGGAGACAAAGGACCATCAATAATGAGCTCCAATAGTAAGAAACAAACTTACCTGTGTTCGACAATACACATCATATTGCAACCCCAAGGTATGAAAGCTGGAAAAGTAGGAAGGAAGGAACATATTGAATGATCACAAGTTTTTCTTTCCTTTTTTTTTTCTTGTTGCAAATAATCCAGATTTTCCAAGCTAATTTACTACCATGGCTTCCTAGTCATATAGACAAGACTAGGGATCCATGTTGGCCTGAAAGATTGAGCTCTATTCCGATATTGATGGATGCATCAAGATCAATATGTATAATACATCTTTTTCAATTTCTGAAGAAGAGCCCAAGGAATGTAGCCAACTGCCGCTGAATTTCTCAGTCTCAGCATGCTTCACCTGACTTCGGGCTGCTGAAATCCTTGTAATTTCTAAAAATTCGAAGCGCGTGCCCCTTAGCAGTAATGGGGGAGATGCGGATCAGCCTCGATCAAAGGAAAGTAGAAGCAGATCGGCTCAGCCTCAAATGATGGCGGGCAGCGAAGTCTTGTGGAATCTCAGCAGTGGCATCGCGTCCCTTTCAGCAGCAACAGTCTCTGTTGATAGTCTCATTGACACTCAGCAGATGCTGCATCTGCTCGGCGGTAACAGTGAACATGAAGAGCAGCTTCGGCTGACGGAAAGCAGGAAGCAGCGATTAGGCTCAGCTTCAAAATGGCGACAATATAAATAAGCCGGAATTTTCACTGGTTTACTATATCTCACCAACCATCCCAACTTCCCATACTCTCCTCCCCATACTATCGCCCTCTACCTAGCCCAGAGCTCAAGGTAAGAAATTCTCTCCAAGCCACAGCTTGGCTTTCCTGCTGACTCCTCACCCTCGGGACTCTTTGATTCTCTGTTCATCTTGTAGAACTAATAAAACAAATCACTAAATAACTCTCAGAATGGACGAATCTATCCGACCTGAAGCCGCGCAAGCAGTTGGTGAGTGATATCTTGCAGGGAATCTTTTCTCATAAAGTATCAGCCACATACTGACAGTACCACTTCCCCTACTAATTTCCAAAGATCTGCTAGACAGGCATGACCGCGCCTGTGAGGACAAGGGCTACCGCCGCGTCCTCAAGAAACAGAACGAGAAATGGCGCTATGTGAACACTGAGTCCAAAGTCCTTAGCTTGAGGGAAATGGTCTCAAGGGAGCTTGGACTCAATGTTTCTGTCAGCCACCCTAGGCTTTGGTACCTACGGATCACCGACAGCAGTGCTCCTATGAAGAACTTTGGTACTCCTCCCGTCCCTCGCCCTGATTCCCAAGGCCGGCTACCAGACGACGAGGACGCTGCCCGCTTGAAACAGCTGATGTATGAGCTTGATCGTCTATCCCGGCCGACTTGAATTGACCGTTTTACAAAACTTTTCAATTTCTCTTCATTCTCTAAAAGCTCTTCGAAATGTATAACAAATGATCCATGTCACTCCTTGTTAATTTCACTTCAACCTTGTAATGATCCATCTTGTATACTTTCTAACTCTTCTTCAGATAGTAATTTTACAAGTTTCTTCTACCTCTTTCTCTAGAGTCCCACATGATCACATTGCCCATAACCACGCCAGCGGCAGACAAACAGGACTGCAGCTTGAAAGGCAGCTTTACCACCCCGAGATAGTACTCGATTAGCTCTTCTCCTCTAGCGGATTTAGAATTAAGAAACCAAAACCAATGGTAGCATGGCGCGGCTAGGTCACCTGAGCCGAATTCCTCATCATTTTAACGGGATAGCGCGCTGCTCAGAGCCTTTTTAAGTATCCGTAGCTTAATTGTGTCCCGATCAACAGTAGAGGTTAACAAAGGGAGAAGGGGAGAAGCTTTATTCAAATGAAATCAACAGAAGACAGGCTCAGCGCTGTTCAAGAATACTGTATTCCAACATCTCACCGATGTAAGTGCGTCCCTTTCACGATTAATAGGTGCTACTGTAATTCTTGTTGAGCCTCAGCAACTGCAGGTTGTCCCACACAGTATTGGCAGTGAACAAGGGGGATGACTTTGGACAAACAAATGAAGGAAGCAGCAGCTGAAAGGCTCAGCGTGAATTGGCTACACTATAAAGAAGTGAGACTTTCTCTCTCTCTCTTGTTTTCTGAATCCCCAAAAAACCATCAAAGTTCTCCGGCACAATCTTCCTCCCCATCCCCTCCTCCCTCTAACTACCCTCAAGCTAAAGGTAAGGAAGATTTCCGCCTTCTCTCCCCTAACATAGAGTCTCCACCCTTCTTTTTCCTCCAGCACCTAATCCAATCGGACATTTTCTTTCTTGTCTTGCTACAGACCAAGTACAAGGAGTGAAAAATAAATCTCTCACGATGAAGGAATCCATCCGAGTTGAAACTGACCAAGCCCTTGGTGAGTGCTACCGACGCGGCTCTTTCTCGACACTATTTACTGACCTATAATATATGAAGACTTACTCGAGAGGCACGAGGAGGCCTTGGAACACAGATCGTACCGCAAAGCTGTTCGGGCTGAATCAAAGCAGAATCTTTATGTCGACACCAAATCCAAAGTCATCGCCTTGGAAGAAATGGTCGGCAAGGCCCTTGGCTTCCGAGCTACCGCCATCCATCCCAGGGTTTGTATCCTACTGCTCAAAAACAACAGTGCCGCCATGAAAAACCTCGGCACTCCTCCCGTTCCATCCTTGGATGCCCAAGGCCAATTCCCATCCCGACCATCGAGGCCTCGTGTGGCGCCTGTGGATGATGCTGCTGCTCGCAGATTGAGGCAGCTAATTTTTGAACTTGATCTTGTATTGGAACCCCCTTGAATTTGCTCATATGACTATTAAAAATTTCCTCTTTTGCTGAAACCTCTCTGACTGCATGTAACACATATGATGTACTCCCATTGAAATTTACTCTTTTCCCTATGAAATTTTAACGATGCCATCTCTATTTCAATATCCAATTTATACTTTTTCTTTTACTTGGCCATGAGCTTGTTCTGCCTCTCAAATTACAGCGATGCGGCTGAGGCCAGATTCACCGCAGTAGAAGACGGCAGCGCGTGCCTTCCTATCCTTGTCATACGAATACCCCCTTTTTGGCCTCTGCTGTATGTATGGGAGGCCTTTTTCTGAACGGAGGTTGAGAAACCTCAATCCAAAAACTCTTTTTTGTAGGGGAGCTTTTATTTTGTGTGTCATTGGCCAAGATTGGATATTATTTCACAGCTTGGCATACACGTGTTGACTTCTTTAGTACCACTAACAAACCCCAAGCTGATCTTCAATCTAGCCAAAGCAATTGCATAAGCTATTCTTCTTGGCCCAAAATATCTATCAATTAAGTGTTCAAAAAAGCAAGCTATGAGCTCAGCTTATTACTTACTTGTAGATCCCAAACTCATTGCTATATCCGGGGGCGGTAGTGGTTGAGTAAATAGTCCCTCCCTTCTGCAAGGATTTTACGCGCCGTCTCAAATCCAGTGGGCAATACTTTAGGTAACCGTTGTAAAAATTTTGGAAGTTCCTGAACTTGTACTATTTTCCCAATACCAAAAAAAAATTATTTATTCATTCCCTTTTCAAATTCCTGGAGGCTGTGCTTCAATTGTCCACAATATGAATAAGCCAGTCTTTCTCTGGCTTGCTGTTTCTAACCGAACAATTCATTCTTTCCGCATTATTCTGCCTCGCTCCCCTCTAGCTGTCTCAGAGATGAATGTAAAAAAGTATTTCTGGTTTACCTGTGCTACCATCCAAGCCAAACCTAATTTTCCGCTAGCCCTTAGCCTCGATTTTTGTTCTTGTTTTTCAAAAACAAAAAAGGACCCACCAAGTAAATCTCATGATTGAGGAATCTGTCTAACCTGAATCCTCCCAAGGAGTAGGTGAGTGCTACCTCATGGAATGTTTTTTGAGGAATCTTTAGTCATATAATGACATTATCCCTTCCCCCATGTAATTTTGAAGATCTGGTAGACAAACAAGACCGCGCCCGTGGGGACAAGCGCTACCAACGCGTCTTCAAGAAGCAGAGCAAGAAATACCTCTATGTGAACACCTATTCAAGATTCCTTAGCTCGAGGGCAATATTTTCAAGAGATCTTGGACTCAATGTTTCGGTTTGCCACCCTTAGCTTTGGTACCTGCGGATAGCCAACAGTAGTGTTCCTATGAAACAACCCTCCCACTCCTCCCCTTCCTCCCCCTGACACTCAAGGCCAGCTTTCGCATGGCGAGGATGCTGCTCAATTGAGACAGCTGATGTATGACCTGGATCTTGTATCCCAATCGACTCGAATTGACTGTTTTGGAAAACTTCAAATTTCTCTTCATTGCTTCAAGGCCCTTTGAAATGTATAACAAATGATCTACCTCACTCCTTGTTAATTTCACTTCAACCTTGTAATGATCCATCTTGTATACTTTCTAGCTCTTCTTCAGATAGTAACTTTACAAGTTTCTTCTACCTCTTTCTCTAGAGTCCCACATGATCAAATTGCCCATAACCACGCAAGCGGCAGAAAAACAGGACTGCAGCTTGAAAGGTAGCTTTACCGCCCCGAGATAGTCCTCGATTAGCTCTCCTCATCCAGCGGATTTAGAATCAAGATACCAATGGTAGAATTACGCGGCTGGGACACTTCATCTGAATTTCTCAGCATTATGACTGGATGAAGCGCTGCTCAGAGCCTGGTTGAGTATCCGTAGCTTAAGTATGTCCCGTAGATGACAACTAGCTAACAAAGGGAGAAGGGGAGAAGCTTTATTCAAATGAAATAAACAGAAGACGGGCTCAGCGCTGTTCAAGAATACTGTATACCAACATCTCACCAATGTAAGTGCGTCCCTTTCACTATCAATAGATGCTACTGTAATTCTTGTTGAGCCTCAGCGACTGCAGCCCGTCCCACACAGTATTGGCAGTGAACAAGGGGAATGGCTTTGGACAAACAAATCAAGGAAGCAGCAGCAGAAAGGCTCCGTGTGAAGTGGCTACACTATAAATAGCGAGACTCTCTCTCTCTCTCTTGCTTTCTGCATCCCCAAAAAACCATCCAAGTTCTCCGACAAAGTCTTCCTCCCCATCCCCTCCCCTTCCTCTCTAACTAACCCCAAGCTAAAGGTAAGAACTATTTGCGCCTTCTCCTCCCTACCATTGAGTCTTCATCCCTCCTTTTCCTTGAGCATCCAATTTCATCAAATATCTCAATTCTTCTCTTATTATAGACCAAGGAGAAAGAATAAGAAAAAAGTCGCTCAAGATGAAGGAATCCCTCCGAATTGAAACTGACCAAGCCCTTGGTGAGTCATACTGACGCGGCACTTTATCAACGCTTTAGCCACTTGCTGACCTATATTGAATATTTGAAGATCTGCTTGAGAGGCACGAGGAGGCCTGGCAACACAGATCGTACCGCAAAGCTGTTCGGGCCGAATCAAAGCAGAATCTTTATGTCGACACCGAGTCCAAAGTCACCGCCTTGGAAGAAATGGTTGGCAAGGCTCTTGGCTTCCGAGCTACTGCCACCCATCCCAGGGTTTGTATCCTACTTCTCAAAAACGACAGTGCCGCCTTGAAAAACCTCGGCACTCCTCCCGTTCCATCCTCGGATGCACAAGGCCAATTTTCATCCCGACCCTCAAGGCCTCGTGGGGCTCCTGTGGATGATCCTGCTGCTCGCAGATTGAGGCAGCTAATTTTTGAACTTGATCTTGTATTGCAGCCCCCTTGAATTTCTTCATATGACTATTGAAAATTTCCTCTTTTCCTGAAACCTCTCTGACTGCATGTAACACATATGATGTACTCCGATTTAAATGTACTCTTTTCCCTATGATTTTTTAACGATGCCATCTCCTTTTCAATATCCAATTTATACTTTTTCTTTTACTTGGCCATGAGCTTGTTCTGCCTCTCAAATTACAGCGATGCGGCTGAGGTCAGATTCATCGTAGTAGAAGACGGCAGCGCGTGCCTCCCTATCCTTGTCATACGAATACCCCCTTTTTGGCCTCTGCTGTATGTATGGGAGGAATTTTTTTGAAGTGGAGGTTGAGAAAGCTCAATCCAAAAACTCTTTTTTGTAGGGGAGCTTTGATTTTGTGTGTCATTGGCCAAAATAAGACAATGTTTCACAGCTTGGCATACATCTTTCCATATGTTTAGTACCGCTCTCAAACCACAAGCTTATCCTAAAAAGCAATTGCATTAGCCATTCTTCTCGGCCCAACATACCTATCAATTGAATGATGAAAAAAGCAGGCTATGAGCTCAGCTTAGTACTTGCATGTAGATCTCAAACTTATTGGTATAGCCAGGGGGTAGTGGTTGAGTAAATAGTCCCACCCTTCCACAAGGATTTTCCGCGCTGTCTCAAATCCAGTGGGCAATATTTCTGGCTACCATTGTACAAATTTCTGAAGCTGTTCAAATAAATTTCTGTTGCTGTTAATGCTGGATCATTGAATTGGAGCTTCGAAATTATAAACAAGGGTGGCCTGTTTCAGTCAAATAGTTTCAAAAAAAAATTGAATTTCAAATACAAGGCTTTAAATTCAACAGCTCTTGTCACAACAAGGACCAAGGGACTGAAACAATATAACATATTCATAATAGCAGTCTTATATCAACAAAGTGATCTTTTCTCCTGAAGTTTTTGTTTGATTAATTAGAAAATGCATATAATTTGGGCTAGATCTTCAGGAAAGATAGTCTCAGTTGGAATATTTTTTTAATTAATTTGAAATGTTTCAAGGCTTAGTTCTTCTTGAATAAGCGGATTTTCAGCTTCTTTCACAACACCAAACTTCAATATTCCTCACCATAAGGAGTGGAAGAAAGGATGTAAGATCTCCAGAAAATTTTGGATTATAAACATACTGTCACATGGGAAGTTTTACCAATTTTTCCCACCTAGCAATTCAAATCTTACCAACAATTGCTTGGATTTTTTTTCATAATACCAAAAAATCTTAAGGTATTACATTCCTTTCTTCCATTTATCTTCTCCAGCATTTAATGCTAAGGTATGAAAATCTATACCCAAGAGCAATCACATCAGTGGGTGGTTTAAGGTTGGATTAGTGTAACAAGTCCAAGATAATCCAAACCCTCAAATGCACCGGGTCCTGTTTGATTGGACTAAACTACTCCTGGTGTAGGATTTGAGCTAAGCAGGAGTAAATTTACTCCTTACTAATACTGGGATTAAGATCCAGTTGCATATTCAAACACGCATGCAACCCCTGGCTACTCCCATTTTTACACCACACCAATGTAGTTGCTCTAATAAGTTATATAAAGCTGGGCCAAGTTATCAAAAGGAGAATTTGCACTTCAGGTGATAAGAATGTTGCAATATTTTTGAGAATTTGTATACACCCTATCAGTATGAGTCAAAATTTGAAATACAACTCATTTCTGAGCTTATGTAATTACAAAAGAGGCTTATCCACCTTGTCTGTCAAGGAAAAGAGGGGGTAAATCATGAAGATGTCAATGGTTTGGGCAGGTTTCTTTTTTGGCTAAAGAGTAGCAGTGGGGTTTTAGCACTAATCTAAAGCCATTAATCCTGAAATTGGTTTCTCCTCTATTTATCACTTTAGATTTGCCTACTTTTATATTTCTTTATTTTCCACTTATTTTATTTTTCAGACACCAAGACACTAGCCCAGGTGTCTACAAAGAATTTAACCCCTTCTGGGTTAAATAATAATAAATATTTTAATATTTAACCTTTAAGTTAATAATTATACATTAATTTTATTCTTTATCATATTTATTATTTAAGTTAATAAGTATTCTGTAAATTGATAAAGAT